GAAATTTACTTGAACCGACTTCTGTATTAAGCTGAAATATACTTGAATTAACTTCTGTATTAAACCAAAATCTACTTGAATCGACTTCCTTTTTAAATAGAAATGGTATAATTTCATCAAAGTCGATTTAAATTGACTTCTATACAAAAGTGAAACTAATTCCATATAAGTTGATTTAAATCAACTTCTCTTCTAACACAATTTTAACCAAAGTCGATTAAAGTCGACTAATGTGTAAAAGTTTTCAAAACAAAAATAAAAGTCGAATCAACTTTCTATTATATGCAATTTTAAGACATTTACGTAAAAAAAAATTTAGAATATTTAGGAAATAATGAATTTTTTAAAATTTATTTATGTAAAAAAGCCAAAAATTTAGGTTTTTTTTTTTTTTTTTCTTCTCATCATATCTAAACAAAATTTTAAAAAAAGTATACAAACTTATTATACAATTATGACATGTGAAAACATAAACAGGTTGAGGCATGGATATGATATGAATAATGATTTGACTAGATTATGTAAGGGGTAGCTAGGATGACAAACACGCATAGGGCCATAGCATAGGTGATGGTGTCAAGCAAATGGAGCATTGGAGAAAGAGCTACCAAATAGCATTTGCATTGTCTTTAAAAGTTGAAGCCTCCCCTGAGTAACTCCCTCCCTAGTCTCTAATAATGCCAAGTGTTTATGCTATTATTAGCTTTATTCTTTTCATTTAATTCTCCTTTTCCCGGAATCTTGTAATCAAAGCAGTTTTTGCATTGTTTTCAGCTCTGCTTCATGCACACTGCCCATAGCCTTCAACCTCCCCCGTGTACTACCTCTCATTCATATATAATTATCATCCCACTTCTGTTGCACACTTGCTTTTTTAATTGCTTTTTCTTATATGTAATGGGTTTGCTACTCTTTTTCTCATAATTGGAACACAAGATTCATGTACGCTTAATGTAATTCAACGTTAACATTACTTGTAGAAAGGTTACTTAAAACTAGTACCTTCCCCATTCCTTAAGGTATATACTCCTGTTTTACTTTATGGAATCTTGCGTGATCATCATCAACATAATTCAATACTATAATGATTAATAAGATTTAAGAAACCTCCAACATCCTCGTTTCCTCGAGGCCAGATATGTAATATATGAAACTTTTCCAACTATTTTATCCAATAAGTTTTAATGATATCGGTTAGTTAATTGCATGATAATGTGATAATGAATGGATGATCATGAGCTTAATTCGACCATCTCAAACAAAACAAAATTACAATTAAATCATTTATAGACCTCTTTTAAGGTTAGCATTAGTTACACTTACAATGCATAAGAATCATATATAAAATGAAAAATGTAGATGCAGTTTTACAATCGCTTAAGATGATCTAGGTGAAATTGTTACTTAGCTTACAAGATATCATTGTATTTATGCAATTATAAAATATGAATTATTTCATCTAAATTTATTTTTATTTAACTTGGATCAAGCATATATTAACGTCAATACATTAATTTGGATAATAAATTAATTTTTTATTCAACTAAATCAAACTTAATCAACCAATGTTTAACCTATTCAAAGAATGATTTGAGTTAGTTGATTTGGATTAATAAAATAAAATCCTCGACTTAGTCTAATTAAATAAAATCAATTTATTTTTAGTTGTCACAAATAAAACATGTCATCAGATTACTTGTATTCTTAATGTCAAAATTAATTAAAAAATGCAGATTCTTTTAATATTAAAATAACTTTCATTAAAATTATTGAGCATGTAAATTAACAAGCATAAGATTAATTTAGTCTAATCAAAGTCTTAAAGTCAAATTCTTAAGAGTATAACTGCATTAAAAATAAAAAAAAATTCCATCGGCTGTAATAAATTTTACATGAGTAATTGAATGCCTAATGTGAAATGTGGACATCAGTCATCTTAAACTAAAAAAAATAACCTTAATTAAATATGTTTTACAACTAAATCAGATGATCATACATGTCCTAGACAACTTTTAAATATTTTTATTCTAAATCTTTAAAAAAATCCTCCTAATACAATTTTACATATATAATTGGATTAAAAAAAAACATGATAATAATAAGAATAGAAAATACTTAATCTAAATTTTGTCGTGTTGACATTCATAGCTCATTGATGTGTGTGTATGGAGCACCGTCGTGTTTGTTTGGCGGTTCATACCTACCCCCATTTTCAGACAGATCCAACCCTCCCTGGATCCATTCTCTCTTTTCCACTTCCAACCTCTCAACTCAAATTACCCTCCTTTTTCACTCTTTTCTTCTACTCTAAGGAGGAATTAATTTATATTATTTTATGCCCATAAAATAATATTTTATCACCTCTACCTTAAGATTTAGACACAAAAAAGTAATAATTTTGACTGTGCCAATATTCAAACATCAAAAATTTCAAAAACAGTCACACTTGAGTCAAATGAAATTAAGTTTTAATGTTTATAATATAACCCATAAGTGATCAAAATAGGAATACCAATGAATTAAATATGTCAATTCATGGTTGGCACACATGCAACGTATATAACCCCTATTGATATATAGGAAGAGAGGAGGGAAACAAAAAATGTAATAAATGACATATAAATTAAGAAAAATAAAGGTGGATTTAGTATGGTACAAGTATATCAAAATCAGAACTCTATTCTGAATTTGCAAACATTTACACAATCAAATATATTTTAAAATTTTCTAATTAATACCTTGATTAATAAAATAATAATAATAATAATAAATCATGTTATACATACTAAAAAAATTATAATGAAAATGTATAATTTGTCAATAAATTATTATTGGTGTATAATTTTCTTCAACTTTCCAATTGACCTTCCCCAGTTTTAGCCGAAGCTGGGGAATGATTAGCCAAAAGTGGGCATAAATTGCTCCATAACAGTAGTTTCCATTTAAATATATAAGTTACTACTGAATAATGGATCATGGTGATTGCGTGGACCGTGACATGACAAAACCCAAAGATATTATATTTTCACATTTTTAGTATGCCTATCTATTTTATGCAATAGATGGTCAACTTTAGAGACTTCCACGAAACATCAATCCAAACAAATCACAAATAAAGATCAAATGCATGTTTGCATTCAAAATTTTCAATATATTTTTTATATTCGTGTAACATTTATTTATTTATTTATTTTTATAAATTTAACATTTTTAAAATATCTTTTAAATTAAAAAATATTTTTTATTTTATATTTATTTTATTGTGTTGAGGAAATGAAATGGAGAGTTACTCCACAGAATGCCCCCGCCTCGCAAGGGCAATGCTGACTTGTCCTTCACTAACAACGTGTCTCGCATGCAAATTCTACGCATCCCATCTCCATCATAACGTGAAATGCACGTGAATTTTATTTTAAATATATATAATTATATTAAAATGATAAAAAATTTAATAAATTATAATAACTTTGAAATAATAAAAAAAATTAAGTAATATAAATTTTATATAGACAAATATGTTTATAAAAAATTTAAAGTTTATATAAAATAACAACTTGTATTTTCAATTTTTAAAATGAAATTAACATAAAAATAAAAATAAAATTATTGTAACTAAGAAAAGTCTAATTCACAAATTATTTTAAAAAAATATATTAAAAAGTACATATAATAAATTGTAAAAAAAATAGATCTATTAAATATTTTACTTCCTAAACAGATTCTCATATAAAGATTAATTTTATTTTTTCTTTATATTTATTCAGCTCATATTTTTTTACTTAACTTAAACTAATATAATTTTATTATTATATACTTTAAATATTTTAAAACTATTAAAATTTTACATCAATATAATTCTTTATTCAATTGACATTTTCACAATGTAATAATACTATACATACATATAATTTTAAAGCATACTATATAATAAAAAATATTTTTTCTTCATATCAAATTAGTTATTAATTAGTTAGACCATTACCTATTTAAGTTTGAGTTCAAGTGAAGCTAAACCTGACACAGAGTACACTTTATTCATAGTGTGTCATACTAATGCTGCTTAAAACACTGATGGACACAAATGGTATTATCAATATTAATTAACTCATAATTTTGTATTATCATGATTACTCCCCCTCAAGTAGAATATACACATTCTAAGAAATATTATTTCCATTTTTATCTGTTGTTTTGAGGAAATTTTTATTATTTTAAATATGCTTTTATTAAAAAAAAAGAAAATAATAATGCATAAAATATGAAAATAATAATTGAAATAAATAAAAGACATATTAAAAAACTAATACCTAAATTACATGACTTACTAGAATAAATATTTTATAAAATAGTGCAATTGCAAAATTAAATTTAAAAATATTAATAAGATGTAGAGAATAATTCTTCCACGGATTCATTGAACAGTAATGAAATTTGGGTAATTATTGACTGAAATTAAATTGAGAAAACACATTTGCATTTGAATGGAAGAGAAAGAGAAAGAGAAAGTATATTCTCTTGCTGTCCCCTCCTCTCCCTGCCTCTTTCTTCATGTCCTAATACCACAGACACTTACGTTTTCATGAACTAGTTTTATTTAAATAAAAAGAAGAAGAAGAGAAGAGTACAATAGCAAAATCTTTTTTTTTTTTAAATACAAAGCTTGGATAATTTTTTTAATTTAAAAAAAAAAAACAACTACTATTTTCTTACTACTGTTATTTTTTTTATTTGAGTACAGTTTTTATATCTCATAATTTTTAAAGTTTTAGTAATTTTAACTTTTAAGTTTAAATTTAAACACATAAAAATAAAATTATTAATCGCTCAAAAGTACTAACATTTTGCCACCCTTTTTATCTTCTTTTCATCATTGTTTTGTTACTTTTTAAGCGGTGTGAAATGGTTGCTCATCAACAGAACTGTAGCTGAATCTTTAGGATGATAATTCAGTTTCATCCCTATAAATAGAGGATTAGGAAATCGCTAGAAAACACATGCTTTAAGCTTAGTGCTTGAAATTAGTCTCATATCATCACAATGTCTACTGATCTCTCAGTCATTCTTCCTCGTGTTCTCATCGTTTCAAGACGAACTGTTCGTAAGAACAAGTTCGTTGATTTCGTGGGTAAGTTCCAATTTCTCTCCATCAAATTCACCAACCTTATAATATAATTCCCAATTCAGCCAAACTAATTATTCTCATGCGTTTTTTATTTTTTATTTTTTCAGGGGAATATCACCTTGATCTTATAGTAAGCTATGGCGCGGTACCCGTCATCGTTCCTCGCGTTTCAGGGGTTCACATGTTGTTAAACAGCTTCGAACCGATTCATGGTGTGCTTCTGTGCGAAGGAGAAGACATAGACCCTTGTTGGTACGAGCAAGACACTTCAGGTCTTTCCCAAGAAGAGTTAGATGAAATCAGAAGGCTTCATGCGAGTGACACAGCCATTGACAAAGAGAAAGACTCAATTGAGTTGAGCCTAGCAAAGCTTTGTCTCGAAAGGAACATTCCTTATTTAGGAATCTGCAGAGGCTCGCAGGTTCTCAATGTTGCATGTGGTGGTACCCTTTACCAGGACATAGGGAAAGAGCTCTCCAAGAACTGCCCAGAAAGCCAGAGAGTGATGCACATCAACTACGATGATTATGATGGTCATAGACATGCTGTCACAGTCGTTGAAAACACCCCTTTGCATCGTTGGTTTCAGGGTTCCTTGGATGAAAAGAAAATGGAGATTTGGGTTAATAGTTATCACCATCAAGGGGTTAAGAGGTTGGCACAACGTTTTATCCCTATGGCGTTTTCTTCTGATGGTTTGATTGAAGGGTTCTATGATCCTGATGCTTATAACCCAGAAGAGGGAAAGTTCATTATGGGACTGCAATTTCATCCAGAGCGTATGAGAAAGCCCAATTCAGATGAATTTGATTACCCGGGATGCCCTTCTGCTTATAAGGTTTAAAAATGGTTACTTTTAAGCTTTAATTAAGAGAATTTAATGATATTATTAGTACTACACTAAGAATAGGAATTTCATTTGGTTGAAACTGTGCAGGAATTTGTAAAGGCTGTGATGGCTTATCAGAAGAAGCTGAATAGTTCAACAAGTGTGCCAAAGTCTATGAAACTTAACAAGGAAATGGAGAACAAGAGGAAAATCATAGTGCGTAGCTTTTCACTGGCGAAAAATCTTTACACCATGGGCCGTGTAAATTGCTCTTCCAAAGAGTCTGAACTTGAAATTGGAGCAGAATTTCTGGAGGTACTAAATTGCACTGAACACAATTCATGTTTATTTATTTATTTTTGCAGCATTAAATATTGCAATAAAAAAACAGTTTGGATGGACAAGTTTTGGGTTTGAATTATTTAAATAAAGCATAGAAATATGATTGCAGTCAAACACAGCGTTGAGTGTGCAGCAAGAGAATCGGTTAAAGCAAATGGGAGCAACAGTTAGGAATGCAGGGTCATACGTGGAGAGGCTGAAGCTGAATGAGGAAAGAGAGAAAATGGCGAGAAATGTAATGGGAAAGATGTCAGTGGAGCAATTGTCTGATCTATTGTCCTTCTACCACACCATGGGCCAGATTTGTTCTGAAGTATTGGAGAAAAAGCTGCATGACTTTGTCATTGACTTTAGTTCATGATTTTGTTTCCCTTCTTGTTGCCATGCAATATTTGGTGTGTTTTATGGTGGGACTCACATGAATCTTATGTGGTCTCGGTTGTGTACATGTTTCCACTTTTTAGTTTTTCCTCTTCCTGTATACTTTTGCCTTTCCTCTACATCGAAGGGCCGTTAAATCTCTCTTTCTCTACCTATCAATATTTTTTATTGTAACAAAATGAAACAATTTTTATGGTTCATATTTGTACAGATGTTTACAATCCAATTCTCTGTCTACCCCACTAAAAGAAGCTTTGAAAATTGGATAAATGTCTTATCTTTCATATTCATGTTTGGTGTGGACCCAAGCCATTGCCATGAACTTATTCGACCATGAATTAAGTGCCCTTTTCAAACTTCACAGGTCTTAATGCATCTATAAAATCAGTTGCTAGAGTTTTGGTGGCTCATGTACAGTATTTATTTGATCTGGCAATGGTCCATATATGGAGGAAAAGCAGCTTTGCTATATGGTTTCTTAAGCATTTGGAATATCTGTGGCTAATAAATATTAAGCTGGTTGAGTATCTTAGTTATCAGTGTGGTGTTTCAATTAGTTGATTTAATACCATTGCATGTCAAAGATGAGGAACAAAAATCCAACAAAATTTTGATTAATGAGTTGGGAATTGGCATTTGATTCCAATCACACAGCAAACACAATCACCAAAATGTAGTTTTGACAGCCACAAACCACTATTGGCATTTTTACTATAGACTTCTGTTGGTTCTGGACTCTCGTGTTTAATAGTTTATATTTAATTAGTTGATTTAATAGTTTTTATTCCTCAATAATTTTGAAATTTCAATTTAGTATCCTCACGGATTCATCAGTTAGCCAGTTTAACCGGGTAATTAATTTTCAACAAAGATTAAGTTAATTTAGAAGCAACTTTATCAAAATTATTTTACTTAATAATTTTATTTAAATATTAAATTTATTCAACCATCAATTTGGCTTCTTTTATTTTAGAATATTATCATAAATATATGTTATCACACTTTTCAATACACTTTTAATTATTAATTGAAATTTATTAAAAATTAACTATAAAAAATGAGTGAAATTAATTAAATTATGAGTATAATCAACATAATATTTAATAATTTTTAATTTATAATAAAAAATGCATAGAAGAATGTGATATTAACTTTTTCCATTTTAATCATTCATATTATACTGATATTTTTTAGCGTTAGATTAATTTATGAATAGGATTGCATAAATAGATGTGTTAATATTTGTTTTTTTTAATTAAAAATGATAATACGTTGCAAGGGAACCTATAATAAAAGTTTCAAATTATTGTAAATATTATCTAATATTAGTATTTCATTTTTAGTAATGTTTCTCTTCTTGAATAGTTCATACAATTATATGAGCTAGCTTAAGTACATATTTGTATTTTAATTTTTAGCCAAGAGGGGTTGAATTTTACATAATATTCTGAAAATGAAAAACTTCAATCACACTGCACACCACAAAAAAAAAAAAAAAAAGTTGATGAAAGATTACGTGGTTCGCCACTTTTTACTTATATTTATGAAAATATTTCAAAAAAAGTATGTACTATCTCAACTAGATTATAAAATTTGTGTAAATTTAAAAATCCTCCTAACATTTTGTTTGGTAAAATGGAATAAAAGTGAGGGAAAAATTAAAATTAAAATTGAAGAAAAAATAGAAGAAATTGAAAAAGTATAATTTTTTGCTTTTTTAAAAAAAATCATTTTTCTTTTCTTTCACTTTCCCTCCAATTATACACAAAATAAAAAATAAAAAAAATGTCGTTATCCGTAATTTTTTTTTCATTATTTTTCCTTGCATACAAACTAATCATAAATGCGTATTATCCTACAAACTCAGTTATCTTATTCAAGATTTTCTGCCCAAGTGACCTTTCACATTTGTGGATTGGTCAGTTCTTTTTTGTTTTAACTCATCAATAGCTTCTCACCTTCTCTCGTGACCATTGATATGTATTTTTCCTCCCTCTTCCAAAAATGATTGTAAGCCCTTCAACTAGTGAGAAAATAATTTCAATAATATAGCAATTATTACTCACGCACTCTAATTTTTAACTCAACAATTCTCCCCTTTGTTTTATTTTAATTTATTTGGAAATATAAATTAATTATCTCAACACTTGAGTAGAGTTGTGATTCCACAAGTCCTGATTAAGAAATCTAGTTGAAATTATCTCTTGGGAAAAATGACAACTTTGCTCCTAATAATAAGGAATTCCACAATGACACAAATGCATGAATATGATATATGAAGTCAACAAATAGTAGTTACCCTCTTAATCAGTCAACTAAACCATGCAAAAATTTCTTAACTGGCAATTCCTGACTATTTCTTCCAAAGAATTTTCTATCTTGCAAATTAGTGTATCACTAATTTCTCTCTCTTTTTACTCTCTCATTTTCTACCATTTCCAAAGGTTGGTTGTTCCTCACATGAGTTTTTCCTTGTCCTTGCTAAATGGCTTCCCTGCTTTTATTCCTCCCCCCTCAGCTTCTTCAATGCATAATCCTCTTGATACTAATTCAGGTGCCTCCATATTTAAGCTCCAATGATAACTATTCAAACTGTTCTAATATTTTCAGTTGTGGGAAGTTAAGGAACATTAGTTTTCCATTTTGGGGAGAGAATCGTTCAAGCATGTGTGGCCATCCTTTGTTACTTCTCAATTGCCAATATGATCAAACCTACATATACATCAATAACGTCAAATACCAAGTTTTGGTTGCCAACCCAGATAACCATACTTTGAGAATCGCTAGAGTGGACTACTTGCAAGGCCTGTGTCCACAACAATATCTCAACACCACCCTTCCCCCTGAGTTGTTTGTTTATGGGCAAAACTACAAGAATCTTTATTTTTTCTATGATTGTAATTCAAATGCCTACCCTAGTTACAATATTGCACGTTTTCCTTGTACCAAGAATGGTGTTGTGAGTGAATTTGTCTATCCTCAGTTTGAGGCTCAAAATCCTCCTATGCGATGTGCTACAAGTGTGGTTGTTCCAGTTTCAGTGTCATTGCTTGATGCTTGGAATTTGACCAAAATACAAGAGGCACTCAGTGATGGATTTGAAGTGAGATGGATGGCTGGTGTTGAAGAATGTAACAAGTGTGAGAACTCAAGTGGAGTATGTGGTTATTTGAATTCAAATCAACCAACCTGCTATTGCAAATCTTCAGATTCAGGCTCCACAACTTGTTCTCTCACCATTCCAACTGCAAAGGAACCTCAGGAACAGGCTCCTGCACTTCCAGGTATGACTAGCTTTTCCTTTCTTCTTGGGAAAATTAGATTTAAAAAAAAAAAAAAAAAACTTCTTTTTGGTAATCAATAATCTTTCCTTCAGGACCAAACAACCATTAATGTAAATATTATGTTCAATTTAATTTATTGACAGCAATTAAGTAGTCCCTTACTAATAAAGTTATTCTTTTTGCTTTCCTTGAACTTGGTAAACTAAACCACTTGTTTTTTGGTGATTGAATCTGATGGTGAATGTAATCCCAACCTCGCTAACAATAATTCTTTATCTTTGGTGGCTAGTTCAAAATATACCTCCATATTGTATGTTATCTTTTGGCCCTTGGACTTGGTAGCTTTCAAGATCAAGTAACATTTTCTGCCAGTGTAGGAACAACCAAATGTAGAGATGCAAATACTTAGTCTCATGTGCTATATAGACAACAACAAGCAAGGCCATCTAGAAGAAAAATAATACGTATATATATATATATATATATATATATATAAGGGAACTGCAGGTAGGCTTTTGAGAATATTTTAGTGACAGAATGAAACTATTTTATTATGGCGAATCAATTTTCCACTACCAACTACCTATGTTCTTTTTCCTAGTCCTCCCATGAGAAACAGAAATAAACTACTAGTTCAATAGCGTGCATCTACATGAAAACTGAAAACCATTCGTCTATCCTAGTGGGATCATGTGTGCTTGATAACCCATATGTACTAAACCAAGAATTAAATTATTGTTCTACAAGTAGTTCTAGAATTTAGTATTATGCCTTCCAATATTTCTCAAAATTGAAAGTGTCAAAGCTATAATGATAAAAACTAATCAACCTTTGTTTTACTGTCATTTAATCTAAAGACCAGGTCGATGAGAGTAGGAATTAACAGCTTAAACAAATGTGTAATTCCTTTGGAAGAAAGCCTATATCCCATCCCTCGTTTACTTCATTTTTTTTTCTTATTATCTTGATAGAGTCAATGACAGTATTTTTACCTTTTCATGAATAGTTTTATTTTTCATAATCGTGATAACATGGCCTTTAGATTCCTTTTACAAAAGAAAAAAAAAGGAAAACAAATATTTTACTGATAAAATTAAGATGCTTGCATCTGATCTGTCCATCATTTTTTCTTTATGTATTCGTTAGTTCTTTTGATCTGAATATCTTTCCTTCTCTTTGTTCTCAACTAGTGAAGTGTGACCCTTTCAGCATGCACACAAACTGAATAAAATAGCATACACGCTGAATAAAAATATAGCATTATTATGTATCAACGAATTAGTCAAGCACGTTATCTTCCAATGCCAACGAAATTTTCTCGTCATGCTTAGCTGCCCAACCATTCTTAATTTATTATATCCTTTTAGCTTAATTTAAACATGAATAGTTGTGGATATTTTTGGTAAAATTAGTTAAACTCCAAGTCTGAATTCAAGTGTCCAAAAATGTAACGCATGGACCGCTTGATCATACACATTATTTGATTAAATTCAAAAACATTATTTAGTAACTTTAAATAATTTTATTAAATAATTTGATTCAATTCAAAATTATTAATTGGTGTCCAAAAAATAAAATAAAAAATAAAGAAACTAGTTTTGCCTGCTCCAATTCCTGTGACCCGATTCTCAGCACTGTTGAATGAATGAGACAGATGTTTAGACCACTGGAATCATAATTGAGTGCCCATTGCTTGAGAAGGTTATGGTGCAGGGTTGCAATTGGCTACTCTCAATGTGTAAGCATTAAATTAGTTAACCAGCTCCTCTAAATTGCATTGCTGCATAGAAATGATGGATCACTTGATTCTAATTATTGTTCTCAATTTTTATTCATTCAAAAACATATAGAGTCACTTCAAATAAATTTCTCAATAAGTATTTATTGAAGATAAAAATAAAATTAATCAAACTTTTTGTATCAGTAGTTAAAATGAATGATGTGTTCTTATTTGGTGTTCTCATTACAATCAAGACTTGCTTACTGCCGTCTGTCTGTTTTCTTTGATTCCTTGTTTTGGTATCTTTGATTATTCTATGAATGTTGCAGGTAAAAAGTCCAAGGCAGTAGCTGTTGGAGTAGGTAATTTTGATTTTGTTATAAGTTTAAATAAAGAAATGTTTGGAAATAAAAATAATGTGTGGTGTTATTCTCAGGCATTGCGGTGAGTGTTGCAGCCCTTGCTGGCATTCTTCTTGGATGCTGTCTATACATGAGACGAAGGAGAAGAATGTCTGAAAAGTCTCAAAGCAATGATCTGTTAATGCTTCCTTCAAGCAATGCCACTGTTAACTCAATTTACTCAACAATTAACATGTCTACAAGTACCCTTTCTTATTCCTCCTCCAAGTCTAACTCTGTGATGAAGAGTTACTACTTTGGTGTCCATGTGTTCAGTTATGCTGAACTAGAGGAAGGTACCAACAATTTTGACCCTTCAAGGGAACTTGGCGATGGAGGTTTTGGCACTGTTTACTATGGTAACAAGATAACTTTTGAGTGTATATACCTTGGCCAGCCTCTCATTGAAGCTACTTCTAAACTTATTGCTTTAACTACCTTCTAAAATCTTTGTCAGGCACTCTCAAAGATGGACGTGTGGTTGCAGTGAAACGCCTTCACGAAAGGACTTTGAAGCATGTTGATCAGTTCATGAATGAAGTTGAGATTCTAGCTCGCTTGCAGCACAAGAACCTGGTAGCACTCTATGGATGCACTTCTAGGCACAGCCGAGAACTTCTCCTTGTTTATGAGTACATACCTAATGGAACAGTAGCAGATCATCTTTATGGAAAATGGGCAAAGTCAAAGTCACTTCCTTGGGCAGTAAGATTGAACATTGCAGTTGAAACAGCAGATGCACTAGCCTACCTCCATGCATCAGATGTCATACACCGTGATGTCAAGTCCAACAATATTCTCTTGGATGATGAATTTGGTGTCAAAGTTGCTGATTTTGGTCTCTCAAGGTTGTTCCCAAGTAATGTAACTCATGTGTCAACTGCTCCACAAGGAACACCAGGTTATGTGGACCCTGAGTATTACCAGAGCTACCAACTCACTGATAAAAGCGATGTTTATAGTTTTGGTGTGGTTTTAGCTGAGCTTTTATCATCTTTACCAGCTGTGGACATCACCAGGCATCGCCATGATGTAAATTTAGCTAATATGGCTTTAAGTAGAATTCAAAACCATGCTCTGCATGAGTTGGTTGATCCACGGCTTGGATTTGAAAAAGACTATGCTGCTATGCAGATGATAACAGCAGTGGCAGAATTGGCATTTAGGTGTCTGCAGGAGATAGACATGAGACCCTCCATGGGAGAGGTGCTGATGGTGTTGAGAGGAATCCAAAATGGAAGATATGATACACATAAAGCAGAAGAAGTGTTGGATAATAGGATAGAAGAAATTATGCTTTTGGAAAAAACTCCTTATCCCCTTTCACCAAATTCGGTTGCTGATAAATGGATTAGCAGGTCCACTTTGTCTAGTTCCTCCTAGCTCCTAAGAATTCCTTTTCATTTTTGGTTAAAAACTTGATTAGATAGTGGAGTTATTCTCTACTCATAAACATAATAACTGGTACCAACGATCGAATTGGAAGAAAATTCATTCATGACTACTTATTTCTTCTCTCTTTTTCCTTTTCATTTCTATCTGCGTCCATTCAAGTTATTACAATTAAGCAAATAGTTAAAGGTGAGACTCAGTTTATGGATTTTTTTCCAAAACAAAAATTATAAGAGAAATAATATTTTTCTCATGAAATATATTCATTTGCAGAATATATATTTTCTCATGTCTTGGTGTCATGATGTTGTATTTACAAGGTTAAATTATGTAAATCCCTGAATTATTTGAGAAATTTTAATAAATCTCCATTTTATAAGTAGGTCTCTACACGTTTAAATTATTTTTTAATTGGATCCCTGTTAAAAAATATTAATGCGATGAAAATTTAAGTAATTACAAAATACTCAAATTTAATATATTGCATCTTTAGATTTTTGCTTTTAAACGAATTAATATCTTCATATAAATAAATAATGAATTTAATACAACATTTTATGTACTGGATGAGTCAAGAATGAAGTCTGAAAAATGAATTGTTAAAAACAATTCGAGAAAGGACCACGTGCTTGAAAATCACTCTGTTTTAACCCCAAAAAAGATAAGCGCATGCCATGGCTCCCAATCCCATCACCATAGCCAGCCATAGCAACTGTAGAAGTTAGAGATAATTTTTGGTGATGGCCTCTTCCAGCTCTTGAAAGTCCCATGCATCATCCACTGAATATTGCCCTGAAGAGAAGAGACTCGTGTAAAAAGTTACACACAACATGAAGAACAGTCATTCTAGAGGTCAATGTCAAGGGTCAAGGCCACTTACCTATTGAATCTCTTCGGAGAGCAGTTAAATGGGCACAGCTGCAAAATTAAAGCAGAAGATAAAGAATAGCAACATAGCTTTGATGTTGGAATAGAATACAGCACACTAAGCTAAAAATCATCGATAGAAATATTTCATGTTAGACCTGGTGAGGCCAAATTACCTGTGCCGGAGAGTGCACGTATGCATGTTAGTACATATGCACAAGTTTAATTATCTTGGATATTACTCAATCCTTAGCATATACCTTTGTCTTTAACTTACAAATAAAACTCAACACTAGCAGGAAAGCATCAAATCATAGAGTAATTAGAGGTAAAAGTAAAAAAGTAGATTAAATCAGCAGATAAAAGTGGGAAATGTGAGCCTGAAGATATTTCTACAATCCAGGTTGCTCTTGATATGAGAAGGAAATTTTAAAATAAGGGGTAATAAACTATACCTGCCAAGAGCTTTCCCAAAATCTGCACAGAGTGACCGAATATATGTCCCTTTAGAACATGTCACTCTAAAAATTAAATTTTGTCTGTAAAAATAATAACACAAATATATCAGGGAGAAAGAACAAATCAGCCACAACTCTGAACGGCTAATTCCCAAGGTACATTTTATAAGGAGAAAATTTTCTTTTGGTAGAAGTTGTTATGATGGTCAAAACAATCTGTTAAAGGTGTAAAAGCCACAAAAGGATTTATCTCCTAGCCTTTGTGTTTTATGTTTGGACCTCAAAGAGTAGCAATCATTCCATTAACAGGTATCAAAAACGATTTTCTACTACTTATGACCAGAGTATACCCCGCCACTTTCAGGAGTTTCTACCATTTAGAACCTTTTCTTTTGGTTGACAGACATAATCTTGGAACTGCCCTTGTGGCCAACAAAGTTATAGAAGGCATAAGAAAGAGATAATGTTGAAGATTTATACTCAAATTGGATTTCAAGAATGTTCATGACAACATGAATTAGGTTTCTTGATTAAATTGTCAATATCAAAGGATCGGGTGATCAATGAAGTGCATTGATCTTGCTGTCTAGCAGTGATGATTTTAACTGTTATCAATGATGAGCCTAAATCTTGACTCAAGGGGCAACAAGAGTTTAGAATGGAGGCTACCGGATAGTTACCTGTCATCCAAGCTACGCTCTATGTCAAACTGGAAAATTGAAATTCGCCTAGGTGAAAGTTCAATGCTTTCTCCTCTCCTTGCTTTCTCGTACATCTTTTCACCTCCAACCTATTATAAGCAGAAAAACAACTTGTAAGGAACTAGACTGGTTGCCTCAAATTAACTAACAAAAATACTAGAGATTTGAGGAGAAACAACAGGAGCCTTTTTTCCCCAATGGATGGAGTCAGTTACATGAATTAAACAACACTATATCATTTTCTTATAAACCTAGTTAGAAATGAGAAAACTTATCAGTGGTCAACTGCTTCAGAAACAGAGCATAATGATGATAATATTGATGCATAAAAAGATGAATTAAATTGAAAACTAGTTACAAATAATAGCTAGTTACAATTTTTAATACCTTAAATATTTAAATGAATAAAGTAGAATCAATTAACATCAAGTCTACAAATTTAACACCTTAAAAATTTTGAGCTAATGAATAAGGCAAAACATACTTCAGCCCTTTGCCCAACCTCAATTTAAAAGAAATTATGACAATCAAATGATTCAAGAATGGCAGAAATTCATACTTTAATAGCTGAGAACATAGGAGGAACTTGCCAAATCTCCCCAACAAAGGACAAAGCATTTCTCTTTATATCCTCATCTTTGATGTGCTCCCATGGCTCACGTTGAATGACCTACATATTAAGTTGGCCTATGAGTGAAAAAATGTCCATAGTTAAAATCTAAGCATAAATGTATGGCCATATTAAATGCAAATTTTAGTTTTGTTTGAGTCACATCACAATGACTTACATGCAACAGCCCAAGCCTAATTCAATATTCTTCATTGCCATTAATTTATTATATACATGTATGCATGACATCAGATTGAGATCAAATAATGTGCTATTATTCAGCCTTGAACTTTTAACTGGTGAATTGAGTTATTCAACTTATGAATAACAAGTATTGGATTTGGTTGGACCTCTTTAACATTTTGCTGAAAGGTTAAGAAATGAATACATATAGATTCTCATGATTACTTATATGCGCATTTATGTTCTTCTAGTTGATGGGCAGAAGTACATTTTCTTTACGGGCTCATAAACTTACACATGAGAAAAACAGATTAACTCACTGGTGAATCAGCATCCCATGTTGAAGTAGCCTCTCCTAAGCGGAACACCCCACTATAACCCTTAATCATCCCTTGATATCTGAAGCAGAAAAGTTCAAAGTATCCAGAAAAGTTTCTCAGATCAAACATTTCAACCAAAACTAAACTATAAGATAGTGAAACAGGCATCAATATTGCTCAGTACTCAAACTGAAGGAAGTTTCAGTTTATTTTTAATCACCTGTCTACCACTTTGGTGGCTTTACCAACACAAACAATCAATAAACCAGTAGCCATTGGATCAAGAGTGCCAGCATGGCCTACCTGTAAATTAACAATGTAAGTCTACATGCAGAAGTAAATTAAAAAGTAAAGATGCCCAGTGGACAAGACCTTCTTCACTTTGACAAGGCGACGCAGCTTTCCACAAACTGTGAAAGAAGTCCAACCTGCCGAAAATTCACATTTCAGTTACATTCATTGACCCACCAAAAAAAAATTAAACTTTCAAGCACTTCGAATTCTCAACGTTCAAGAATATGTCGCTTCATGTTCAACAATTTGAGTAAAAAGTTGCACTCAGAGCTAACCTTTGGGTTTGTTAACCAAAAGCACGGTGCCATGTGGACCATCCCATACAGGAGGAAGGCCGTTCCTCCTTGAAGAAAGAAATGGCTCTCCAACTTGAACATCCTTATCGTTAGGAACCTTCTTCAAACCCTTAAAGAATTCCTCAACCTTCTTCTCCGTGAGATCCTTGCTTGCACCCTTGTCTTTCTCCTCAAAAAACACCAACTTGTCATCACCACCCCCAACCTCATCCTTCTTCCCCTTACTACCAACTCTCTTCCTACCCTTCCCCTTCTTCCCATCTTCATTTGAATTTGAATTTGACTGTCCCGGTTGAAGAAAAGCATTGTCTAGGCACTGTTGAGGGAAGTACTTCTTCTCCAACTGGTACACCATCTTGTAGTGCTTATCCTTCTCCCATGGATAGGTAAAAGCGTCATAGAAATACAACTCCTCCTCTCTGCGGTGCAACGTGGGAAAGTCCACCACCTCTGGTTTCAGCTCCACGAACGTATCCTCGCTCCGCCGGCTCTCTTCCTCCGAGTCCGACCCATACATCCTCTTCCTCCGTTTGTTGTAGTACTTCCTCTTGGCCTTGTCAAGTTCGGGTTTTGGCGAACCGGATTGGGCCTCGGAGGCGAGTTTCCGGTCGACCCAGCTATCCAAGCCCAGTTCGGAAATGGGTTCGTCGGGTTCGGGAGAGGGCTGAGAAGGGGTGTCAATGGGTCGAACAGGTGGAGGGCGAGTGTGGGAATTGGATGGACGATTGATGATCATTTCATATTGGAGAGGGTATGGGGTGGGGTTGGTTGAGAAAGGTTTTGATGTTATGGGGTATGGAGAGAAGGGTTTTGAAATTGAAATTGAAGTTGAAGGAGGGAGCATTAGCAAGTGTCTCTCACTGTGACTCAGCAATCCCAGTCGTGCAGAATGGGAGAAGAAAAAGGAAGAGAATGTTGATTTCAGCATTTCCAGTCAAGTGCCAGTGCCTTCCTGTACTTTGCTTCCCTGTTTCGCCAAATATACATACACAGACACCACCTTCAAAATCTCAATTTATACCATAATATTAAATAAATATTTTTATTTAATATTTATTTTAGCTTTAATTTATAATTTACAATTTTAAAGACATGAATAGAGATTTGATTTGAACATGCTATTTATGAAATGCAAAGCTAGGTCTTGTTTTTAAATTTATTTTAATTAATTTTTTTATATCTTGTTAACATTTTTTACTTATTTCAATTGTAATCAACTATTTCTTCGTCTTTTTATTTTTACAACGAGATGAACTGAATGATCTTGTTTAACTTTTGCAATGCATCATACAAGGGGGCCTACCTTTTAACAGAGTTGTGCATAAGTTTAATTGCCATTCCCTATTATGATTTACACAGGGAAAAGGGTGTCCCAACGATGATTCAAAATAAAATAACTAACAAAACGAAAAAAGGATAGAAACTAAAAATAAAAAGGGTAGAAAAGGGAAAGGGTAGAAGCGGTATAAGAATGGAAAATTGGAAATAGCATGTGAAAAGTCAAAAACCCCGCCTTCTCCCTCCTCACTCCAATTTTTGAAATGGAAGACGAAGAATGGGAACTCTGCAACGACGACGGCTTCGTCTACAAACGCAAGCGCCGCCGAATCGATGCTTTGCCGCCGCCGCCGTCGGAGGCGGACGAGGAAGCCGCGGAGAAGCGGCGGAGAGAGCGGAAGAAACAGACCCTGTTGAAGCTGAAAGCAAAGTACGAGAAGGAGATTCTTCAGTGGGAATCATTGTCGAATACATTGACCTCAATTCAACAACGCACTTCTCTTAACCCTAAACCTCAACCTCAGCCTCACCAAACCCCTTCACTTCCTTCCACTTCTTCCTCAACCGATTCCGCCGGTGCCTCCCTCCTCTGTGACCTTCTCCAGCAGGTAACTCCTCTGCACTACCCTCAATCCACAGCTCGAAATCAAATTCCCCCAATTTTTATCCTCATTTACTGCATTGGAAAGAGTTTCGGACTCGGCGAATGTTAATTACTAATTCTTAGGTTATTCTAGTGTTGGAAATGAAACATACTGCGTATTTTTAGGGTTCTTAATTTAATTGCATATTTAGTGAATAGTGATGAGCTTAGTGCATATAATTTAGTAGTCTGGACCTCACAGGTGGAAGCACAGGGAGCAATCATTCGAGATGTTACAAATTTATGTGACTTAGCAGAAGCAATGTGCGATAAAAGGGAAGAACAGTTTAAACAAACCTTGTTTGATCTTCCGATTTGGGCTTCACCACTTGACCTCATGCAAGTTTTATGCGATGATTGAAGGGGTTTCTCTACTGGGTTACTCTCTTGGTAATGGATGTGAAGTTGGAAAGGGTTGTCTTATACAGTTCAACAACTCCAGTTTCATTATTTGTAACTCTGTAGTACATTGTGTCATGTAGATTAGATCTTTGGCAGATTGGTAAATAGTTTTAGATTGATTGATTGTGTTTAAAAGAGTATCAAAATATTTGGTTTGAGTCATGCATTTGGAATGACCCTGTGATGAATTCATGTGGTGGGAACTGAGAAGGTGGACTCCATCAAGTTTCCAATCGAGCACGAAGATGAAATTATGTAGTTTTGTATATTAGCATAAAGGTCATTAACTGCCAGAATCTAATCCCATTATGTGATTTCTTACTCTCTATTTTTTTTTTTCGAGAATAGTCTTACTGTTGTTTTCCACCACAGGCTTGAAGATAATGAATTTATTGTAGGACACCCTTGAAAATACAATATTTGGAATTCAGTGTTTTTATTATTAGTCCGCGACTAGTGATTTGAGCATTAAAATTACGTATCGTTTGAGTAATAAACATTAAACACAGAATAGTGGTCGAGAATATATTAAGAAAGGTGAAGTTAAATTGAAGAAATGCAGAGTTACGATAACAAGGATAAATTAACAAATTGATGCACTAAGTAATTAGGTATGTTAATGTAAAGCGTAAATATTCACTGGTCAAGCTTGGCCTCTTGGTTGCCACACGCATCCTCTTCTACCTGAGCCAAGTTGGTTAGAAAACTTCAACCCCTTTTCTTCTTAGCCCGGCGAACCATGATCCATGTCTATAGCCTATCTAATATGACATGGCTAAACTAATTTCAATCCATTTCTTTCACCATAGCGAAGGTTGGTCCAAATAATAAAATCATGCAGCAATAACAAAAAAATGCAATTCTTACTGGTAAACATTTATTTGCGACATTTATAAGCACCATCATAAACTCATTTAGGCTTGAAAAATTACGACTTAATTAAATAAGTGTCAGTGTCCAACCATTTTTATTCCCAAAGTACAAAATGCCCACTCAACAAATATTTTTCTTCACAGAGAAATGAATTTCTTCCACTGCCATGATCGGGCAACCCAATCATCAGCTTTTCCTATCATCACTGTTCAGAACATAACAAAAATGATGTTGATATTTTAAAATATTTAACCCATGTGCAGGAATATTGTCAAGCATACATCCCCTTCAAAAAAATGTAGTTCATATTTAACAAAATCAAGTCATATTTTTCTTATTAAATGCATCAATAAAGAAACAAACCAATCGCAGTTTGAAAATTTTAACTCACCTTCAATGAAATGGAATAATTCCTTTTGAGAACAACTATTTTTCCAACCTTCAAATTATATTACTTTTTTAGCGAGATTTCCAAGTCAATTTCATTTAGACATGAAGGAAAAAGTTCAATAGGTTGTATCACAAATCCAGCTTTGTGACATTCATCCTCGAGAAGCTTTGCTTGAGAATCCCCCTCAGGACAAAATGCAACAACAGCTCCTCCGCTACCTGTAAATTTTGACGCAGCTCCAACCTTTCTAGCAACCTCTACCATTTCTATGTTCATAGCACCAAGGGCATCATCTCCAAACATTAACCTGTACAATATTCCAACAATAAGTTTAACAGAAACTCCTCAATTTCAATTTCCCAATGCCTTTCATTTGTTAGGGAAAACAAGATTAATGATTTTTTAATGATACAAGATAAACTGGTTTGAATCTTATATACACGCGACCAGAACACTGATTCAAGTACAACAGTAATTGATAATTGACAAACGAGAAAATTCTTGTGTAGTACTCCAGGGGAAAATAGATCTAATTAGATGGAAGGAGAATGTATTAGGTGAGGACTTAGTTCCTCTGCTGGGGTATTAGTTGGGAGGACTCTTAATTCCTTTGCTTGCTATTAAGTGAGAAGAAGAACCTTTGCTTTTTTTGGCAAGTGTGGTGTGGTGATGCCCCTAACTCATGATATGTGACTTGTTGGGTGGGATTGACTCACCAACTTACATCGAAGTTTTTGCAAAGAACTAGTTTCTTTTCTAGTCACTTTGTTTATTAATGCCCTCATTGAGTTTATGCAACCACCTCTTATCTCTTTAAAAGTTCCCAGATTATCTGACAGTTAGGAAGTGGGCATTGAAGTTGGTGTTGCTCCTTTCTTGTGGCCTGTGGGCAAGTGTTGGTTGGATATAACTATTGGGCTACTGGAGTTTAGTTATGTCATTAGTAGGCTTGCAATCAGAAGAACAAATAACTTCCCAGTTCCCATCATAAAGTAATCTGATTCTTGAAACCATCATTTAAGTTTGAAAACTGTAATGTTGTAATCGCCATATGTCAAATATACCATTGCAGATATTTTTATATAATGAAATAGAAAATTATGAATTACCTTCGCAGGTCAAAATTTCGATTCATGAGAGTTGCAAGTTTTGAGTAGTCCTTCTCTTCTAATGCAGTCCTTCCTTCTCCGGCAATATTTGCAACCTCAAGCATTGATGACACAATGAACTCATCACCATCAAGCCACCTCTGCCGTACTTTACTATGAACCTACATGTAACTATAAGTTAAATTTATAAACCAAAAAAAAATAAAAAATCAAGGGAAGTCTCTAATATGTAATGGAAAAACACATTATTATGAGAAGTGTTATCTCATAATATCACTTAATATTGCTACCTCGAACATACTTTTCCATTGTAGCCTATAGTGAGGACCAATCCAATGCCAAAAATTTAGCAGCCAACTTAAACAGATAAAAGGACTATTCTTAGCCAAGAAGTATGTATTACCGCAACATCTCTTATTTTGGGGGTCCAGGTAAGGATCTGAAATTATGAAAGCTAATGCAACATAGAAAGGGAAAAAACACATTTGCAAGAAACAAAACATGCAAATGGGATGTACAAAAAACACCATAACAGGCATAGCCAGGGAGCATGCGAACAAAAAAGCCTTCCATGTCACTGACCTTGCCAGAATCACTAGGATTTGCAGCATAGATGAGATGCAGAGGTGGGAGGAGACTCAAATCCATGGGCTCATAAATTCCATGGCCTAGCTCATCCATGTTCTCCTTACTGAAATCCTACAAAAGCAAAGCAAATCACTTGATTAATCGGCATTCATCGCACTTATACACATTAGTATTTATTTTATTAAAACTTACATAAACATGCAAGCCCCACTTCCTACTCCCAGTCTAATCAGTCTCACACACAAGTTCATGATTTCAAATGAATTTCAGCCAATAATAAATAAAACAACAATGTACCATATAAACTAGGCCACCGTAAACTTGCGCAACCCGATCCTGAAGACCAGCAACAATTCCAAGTTCCTTCTCTGCAGCAAGGATTAGGTTGGGCCTGAGCTGGACCTTGATGAGATGCCTGACTTGGTAGAAATCGAGTAAACAGTTCAACGCAGCACACACAATCCCACTAGAACCGGAAAGTCCAGCCTGGAGAAACACCAATTTCAAACCTCAAAAACAAAAATCAAAACGCTGAATTTGGAATTGACATAAACGACAGTGAGTACCTGGCGAGGGATATTAGTGTCGTAAGAGAGAGTGAAATTAGCATCGTGAAGTTTGATATCGTTATCTTTACAATAAGCATAAAACACTCTGCAAATAGCCATAAGCAATCGCACGCCGCCATAGTAACCCTCGGAGTTCAACCTATTAACCTGCGTATTATTCCAACGACGCCATGCATTGGAACAAAGAACTGAATTGCAAGAGAGAAAAGAATGAATAGAAGAAAAGATAGAAAGGTACCAATTGAGAGAGAGATTGGAAATGGACGAGATCATGGAAAGGATGAGGCTCGATAATCAGGTCCTCGGAGGGACGCAGCGTGACGGTGGCGCAGAAATTAGCGACGCTAAACGATATCGTTTTGCCGTAATAGACATCGCTTGGGTTCCCTAACAAACCCACCCTCGCATACGCCTTATGCACTATCACTTTCCTCTCCATCTCCATTCCTCCACTCATTGTTTTTGCAAAACAAATCTAACGCGGATCCATTCACTTCACATGTAAGTGCTTCTTCACGTTTGTTTTAACCTTTTTAATTGTAAGTTTTTATTCAATTTTTTAATCACTCTAGTTTTCAATGACAGTATATAAAGACTTACTCTCATATTTATTGAGCAAACATTGAAATTCATAAATTTAAGTTATCAAAGTAGATTTGTATATTATTAGATTTAAAATTATTTTAAATTACCTAAACTTTAACCTTTTTGTAAGACAAAAATTTACTTAGGAGTTGCGTAAGTGGTGTTATTTATTAATTAAAATTATAATTTTATTTATTTTTATTATATATTATCAAAGTAAAAATTTAAAATTGATTCACAAACAGTACCAATAACATCTAAACAACTGTAGTTTTGTTTTTTTAATAATTATTTTCTTAATAAACTACTAACCTGTATAACTAAATTTAGGTTAGACCAAGCCCAGTTGTTACATGTTTGCTATAAGTTGTTTTGCCCAGTATGTGTTTAAGGAACAAAATCATCAGAAGTTAACTTAGATTTACTTAATCAACCTACTACTTTATTCAGACTTTCAACTTTTAAGTCTTGTTAATTTTTCCTTTGTTATTAATATCTCACATTAGTTGTCATGTTGTTTATTTTTTATTTTTTTATTCAATTCCTTCTGCTTGCTTGGTTTGTTCTTATCGTTATACCTTTTTCATATGCTGTTCGGCATTTTTTAGGTGTTGTCCTTACTATAAAAATGTTTTATATTGTCTTTTTTGCTATAACAACATATAAGAGAACTTTCTTAGGCCCTTTGTCCTAATATTTAAAACTAAATATCAATTTTGCTATTATTTTCCTATTTCTAATTTGCGATCAATTTTTAGACATTTTATCGTTTTGAGTCATTTGTCTTAATTTTCTAAATTGTATATCTTTTTTTTTCCATTTTCTACATAAAATAAGAAAAGAACTCATTCAAACGTCCTCAACTCAAAGTCAACCCAAATTAAATAACTTAAATTTAGTTAAAATTAATTATTTTAAAATACCTATATTCAAAACAAATTTTCTCCACTTATTAACATTTTGTGTATCAATTTAAACCATGTTTTGCCTAAACGCTGAACTAACTCAATCCAACCTCACTTCAATTAACTCAACACCAACCCAATTTGGGAAAAAAAAAGCAATTAATTCATAAAGTAAGAGTCTAAGAGCTTCCCATTTAGGGAACCACTCATTGATCATCATTTAAGCTTAAATTTAAACTTGATTTGAGAAATGACAATCACTACTGTAATTAAACCATCCTTATTCATTAATCTAGTTTTATATCTCTAAGCAAGGTATCTAGATTTGTAGTTTTCATCTTTGCAATTGATTATTGCTCATTTTAATTTATTCATCTATTATTTTATAAGTATTTTAGCATCTACCAAAGAAAGCATAATAATACTCTGAAAACAAAAACACTGTTTTGTGTTTGTGACAGTGACTCTATTCCTTCCGCGGTTTTACTTTACCAGAAGAACGACACCACAGAGTGGGAATTCAATAATCAAAACGCGTTGCAGAGATTAGATTAAATTAAAGATATTTTCTTTCATCTTCCACCACCTTCTTTTCTCAATCTCTCAATCTGGGTCGTTCACTTTCTCTGCTGCTCTCTCTCTCTTTTCAACCTTCCCTTATCTTTCTCTCTCTTTCTTCCCACTCTAAAAATAAAAAATAAAAATTAGATTTTTATTAATCTTCTGCTGACAAGGCTTATTGTTTTGGATCTTTGATTTGATTTCTTTCTTTCTTTCTTTCTTTTTTTTGATTACTCTAAGTTCTGGGTTTGTTGTTGAGTGCCTCTTACATGTGGGGTTTTATTCTTTGCTTCATAAACAAAGACAATTGTTGATTTTTTTCTGTTTTTTTAATGATCTATGAGCGTGATTTTGGGGATAGGTGTGTGTGGGGGAGGAAAGTTGTCTTTGGGGTGCTAAAGTTGAGTCTTTGTCAAACCCGTTGGTGATGGCTCCTTTCTCCATTGCCATGTAGCTTTGATTCATTCCAGTTAAGGGTATTTGAGTTGGTTTGTGTGCTTCCACGTGTGTAATGCAGAGAAGGGTATGCTCTTTTTGCCGAGTGTGAGTGTTGCTGCTACTTGCTAGATAGTTCCACATCTTCTTGAGAGAGAGAGAGAGAAAAAAAAAAATTAAAATGGGATCTGGCAATGAGGTTCATTCAGTTGAGGTATTCAATTTAGAGTCCAAGTGGCTTATAGATCCAAAACAACTATTTGTTGGGCCAAAAATTGGGGAAGGTGCTCATGCCAAAGTCTATGAGGGAAAGTAAGTCTAACCCGTTTCGTTGTCTGTGTATTTGCTTGTTTTTTTGGCGTCTATTTTTGGACTCAACTTTGGTTTTTGAATTCTTATATCCTACAAGTTCCTCATTTATTTTTAATAAGATTTAAGGCAAAAGTTTGATTTGATTTCTAAGTAACGGTTTGTTGATAACTGTTTAGAGAAATACACATTCGGTATCCATTAAAAGATTATTTGGTGGCTAGCTGAGTTATTATTGTTGGGTCTACTGCTTGCAGATATAAAAATCAGAATGTTGCTGTTAAGATTATCAACAAGGGAGAAACCCCGGAAGAGATTTCAAGGAGGGAGGCTCGATTTGCCAGAGAGGTTGCTATGTTGTCGAGAGTTCAACACAAAAATCTGGTTAAGGTTGTATACTTGGAAGGAGTCATTTTTTGAAAATTCTTGTTAGATATATGCTTCAATTAGAATTGGCAATAGATGTGAGTGATTGGTTCAACTTAATTTGAAGAATAATCACTTCCTTTTATCACAAGTAGTACTGAAATCATGTTGGTATTGATGGACTGCGAGAAAATTGTGTCTCATTATATGTTCTATTTTTTTATTGATGCCAGTTTATTGGGGCCTGCAAAGAACCTGTTATGGTTATAGTAACTGAACTTCTATTAGGTGGCACGTTGCGTAAATATCTCTTGAGTATGCGGCCAAAGTGCTTGGATATGCCTGTGGCTGTTGGATTTGCTCTTGATATTGCCCGAGCAATGGAATGTTTACACTCCCATGGGATTATTCACCGCGATCTTAAACCTGGTATGCCTGTATAGATGTCAGCCTTACTGGTTATTATTGAGTATTAGCTGGTAGTGCATAAGGGAAAAAATTGTAACTTGGATATACCTTTTTTTGTTGGCTACCACACTATGATTCCTGTTGAAATGGAAAAGTAGCTTAAAAACCAATTTTGTTATTGTTAATAGGCTTTACTCAAGAAGTCTATACGTTGTAAATTTATGTAAAGTTGACTATCTATTTTCCCTTTATATGGTCCTATCTATGATCAGACTGTCATTTGTTTTCCTTTTAAGGTCATATTTCTGTTCTAGACATTCTGGGCCATTGAGTTTAAGTTGAGATAATATTGAACAACTGACATGTTATGTGAGAAACGTAGTTTCTTGTTAACATTCAAGTTCTATATATCAAAGAGCAAGCATAATTCTGATGACTTTCTTATTCTTTCCTTTGCAGATAACTTAATCTTGACGGCTGATCATAGGACAGTTAAACTTGCTGATTTTGGTCTGGCTAGAGAAGAGTCCTTGACAGAGATGATGACTGCTGAAACTGGAACATATCGTTGGATGGCTCCAGAAGTACTACTTAATTGCTTAAAACTTTGAACATTTATTGATTTTCCAGTTTTGTGGTTCCATATTAGGTAATTTACCCTTACTGTCCTGTTTGGTGGCAGCTTTACAGCACTGTTACTCTAAGACAAGGTGAGAAGAAGCATTACAACCACAAGGTGGATGCCTACAGCTTTGCGATTGTGTTGTGGGAACTCATCCATAATAAGTTGCCCTTTGAAGGCATGTCTAATCTACAGGCAGCATATGCAGCTGCTTTTAAGGTAGATGTCTTTCTGATACTTGCTTGATAATACTTCTGATTAAGGTGATCTTGCACAATTTATGACCATTAGCTCAAGGTCTTCATTCTTGTAGTAGCATAGTTACACTGAAGTTACATTTTGGAAGGGTTGACCATTTCTCGACACTTATGTGAACTTTTAACCTTTTAAGTTGTAGGTGTACTTTTTGGCTTCTTGCTAATTGCCATATAATATATATTTATCAAAGTAAAAAAATGACAATTTCCCTTGAAAGTTGAAAGTGACAAAGTGTCTTATTATATATAGTCATAATAGAGAAAAAAAAAATGACAATTGCCCTTGAAAGTTGAAAATGAAAGAATTTCCATTTAAATGTGATCAGTGTGCAAATATGGAATTTTTTTATGATCAAATTTGAAAAGGACCATTTCTTCATTTTTTTAATGGCAAGAGTTACTGTAATGTACAGTTGGCATTTGAGATGCTTGTAAGGCAACTGCATGAACAAGTGTACTTTTTAAGTCATGTCATTTGGCATAATACTATTTAAATTTTTATTCTCATTTATCTCTGATCTTTATGGTATATACTACTATAATCACAATTTTACTTGTGTTTACCACTGAATTTCCTTCGTTATTCTTGAAGTTCAGTAAGCATTCATGGCACAAATATTTAATTATTGCAGAATACAAGGCCCAGTGCTGAAGACCTTCCTGAGGATTTAGCTCTGATTGTAACTTCATGTTGGAAAGAGGATCCAAATGATAGACCAAATTTCAGTCAAATCATACAGATGCTCCTTCGATATCTCTCTACTATTTCACCACCAGAGCCAGTTGTTCCTCTGAGGATGACCTCATCTGAGAATGCTGTGTTGCCACCAGAATCTCCTGGTACAAGTGCATTAATGCTTGGAAGAGATGACTCTGGAGAAACTCCAAAAACCAGTGTGGAAGACAGGTCTAAAGGGTTTTTCTTCTGCTTTAAACAATGTTACTGATGCCTCAAGAGACATGATTTGGTCTTTGGAGCTGTCCCATATCACAGTTAGGAAAACCAAATAAAACCACATTCACCAATTGTAACAACTAGTAGGATCTTAATAAGAAAATGTTAACTATTATCACATAAGGCAGTTTATAGTAGCAATTAGCAACTAAGAAGTTCTCAGCAAGAGTGGCAAGCACTTTTTTAACATTTATATCTTGACTTACTTCTGACTTGTATCCAAGGACACTCAGAAAATTTTGGGGTTAAGGTTGCTGAGATGTAATATCATTGTATAATAAGGTACATCCAAAGGCCTTCACCTCCTGTTCATATATGTTGCATGGACAATAAAAAAGGGAAAAGGGGGAAATGTTTACATTGGCATTCATGTGTTTCATTCATCAAACTTGTTTTTGTATCACTCCTATTTGCTATGCATTTATTATATGGCCGAAGTTAATGCTTTTGCTTTTTTTTCACGATTCTGTCTACAAGTTTAGTATTACTTCTAATCCTATTTATAAGAACAATTAATTTATTGTGCGTAGATTAATTTTCATTAATTGAAAAGAGAGACTATTAAAAATAAAGGAAACAATAAATAAGGGAGAGAAAATGTGTAATTAATTATTAAAAAATTAATTAAAAGTGTGTAATTAATAAGGTATAAGTTTGTATAAGATAAATAAATTATTAAAAATAATTATTAATATTTTTAAAAAATATTAACCAGAGTCTCAAGGTTGAAAATAAGCTTTATTAAAAATAAGAGAAATATTATTATATTTTTATAAATTGAATATAATAAATGTGTTTTTTTAGAAAAAAAGTATTTGTAAAGTTTAAATTCAATGCTGAAGTTAATAAAACTCATTTTTTTAAATATAAGAAAAATGACAATTAATAGAACTCTTCTTCTTAAATATAAAAAATGATATTTCTTAATGTTTTAAATAATAATTTTTTATACTTTTATTTATTACAAAATAAGTGATAATAAGGTAGTTATGATACATTTATTTATTTACTATATAATATATTAATAAATATAGATAAAACCAAAAGTAGGAATCTACAAGTACCAACTCCACTCTTTTCGGTTATTACTTCGGAAAAAATTAATTTTTGTAAAAGATTTTATGTAAAGCAAAAGTTATTTTTAATTCATTTATAATTATGAACACTATTTTTTATTTTAAAAATTAGCAATAGTTTTGACTTTTTCATAAATATAACAGTATTTTGACTTATTTTATTTTATTTTATTGAAAACTTAAATAAAAAATTAAAAACTTAAAAAGAACTGTGGTTCTTTCATATATATATGGATGAAAAATAGACGGATTCTTAATTTTAGACTATTTTTGTATGTTTAATTTAAGACTATTTAGTTTATAAACAGATTCTATTAACGTGTATTTTAAATATAAATAAAAATGAATGTATAATAAGTTTTTCTTTCAAAAATAAAATATTACATAATTTAATATATTAATGACATTAAACATGATAAGCTTTAATAAAAAGAAAGCATTATTTTATAATTTCTTAAATACGCTCTTTAAGTTTACCACAGAAAAACGGTTTGATAAAATATAAAATAAATTGCGGAACACGTATTCGGTTAAATCATTCATCATTTATTTCTGGGTTTTTAATTTGTAATAAACAACAGAATGTATTAAAAGATTTAAATTGCCCTGCCGTCGGCAGTCAACTTTCACAGCAATACTCATTTTTAATATTTTGTTTGGATAAAAAAATTAGAAAATAGAAATTTTAATTTGTAAAAATAAAAAATAATTTCCTTTGTATATGATGTTGGAACTTTTACGAAGCAAAATTAGTAATAGCTTGGGAAGCAAGGTAGAGGAAATTTACTGTAATGACTCTGTTTCACTCGGTTTTCGGAGAGACAAGACAGCAAGCAACTCCCGAAGCAGAGGCTCGGACTAGTTCAGTCAACAGTGGGTCCCACTCGACTTCCAGCTTCGGACATCGAGTCTCTCAAAGAGTTTCCTCGCTCCCTGACACGCCCACACATTCTCTTCCTACGTTGTTGTTCACTCGCCCAAGTAACGTTGTTATTATATAAACACTCCCAACACCACTCTCCTCACTTGTCTTAACGCGTCTTTCTCTTCTCTCCTTTTCTTTGGCATGGCTAGGTGAGCATTGCAGTGCAAGTTTCCAGTTTTGTGTTACAAAGTTTCCAGCTTTCGGTGTTTTCTCAACACCCCGTTTTCCGTTCTCTCTTCATCTTATGGTTTTCGATTGTGGGTTGGAGTCCCTTTGTTGAGTTGATTGGTTAAAAAGCCGCATTTTTCCTTTTCCGGGTGGTTCAATTTTGGAAACTTGTGTCAGAGAAATGTTCCCCTTCTTGGCTTTTTGTTAGCGTTGGGTGTTACATCACATGGTTGAGTTTGGCTTTTGTGGTTGGTGATGGTGAATGATGAATGGACGGCGTATGTTGGATTTTTACCATTTGTGGAAAATTAGTTAGCAGATAATGTGACATTCTCTTTGGAATTTGATGCTTAAATGTTTTCTGCTCTAATTGGAAATACTCGAACTGCACCGATCCTTTCTACTACTAGCACAGCAGTGTCGAAACTCGCAAAGAAACATTTGCAAAGTGCTTAATAATAATTCGTGGATTCAATCATGTGATGATGATCATATAAGATATAAGCGAGTGTTGCAATGATTTTGGGCTGATTTTTTTGAGAAAAACTTGGTGTGCCTTGTGTTCATTTCTAATAGTGAATTTCCTAGGTTGTGGAATAACTTGTTGCTACCACTGTGCCTTTACTTTTTTGTTTGACCCACAAAAGAAATAGGGAAGAAAGAAGGGAAATGGAAGAGTAAACGAAGAGGAATAGTGGAAAGAGTGTTCGCTGAACATCAGATTCCAGAATCTATAACAATACATGGATTTGTGTTCCCAAAATTCCCGCTTCTATGCCTTCTCCATGCTCTTCTTTTGTCCCGTTTCAGTTTTTCTTTATATCGTTTATGTTCTCAGACATACTCAATGCCATCATGAGACGACGTGGAATTTTCACTTTAACTAACATCTTAAAAATGATAGTCTCACAAGTTGATTTTGTTGAGTCGATTTCGTGAAATATTAATGATAATTTCACATTAGTATATAGAGTTCTTCAGGTAAACAATGCTTGCTTTCGAAGGAATGATGAGCGAATATAAAATTTGTTTTTTGTAGGAGCTGGGTTTCTGACATTTGGGGATTTGCAAGGAAAGTGAAAAATACTACTACGTCAACAGCAGATCAAATCAAGGACTGTGGAGCATATATTGATTGCCCAAAATGCCATTATCGTATTGATAACAGTGATGTATGCAATAATTCAACATACATTCAATCTCAGTTCATATATAGGTCTTGAAATTCACACATACACCAAAATAGAAAAATGCGATAGATAAGCCTATAAGCAATGAACACTGCTCTTATAGTAAAGTTTTTAATATTACCATGAAGTTTGTACACACTCCAATTCATTTAACATGCATTAAATTGATTCAAGTTTTTAAGAGTAAAAGTTGGCAATTTTAACTTTGATTCTGGGATTAAATTCTTGAAGAGTTCAACATAAATTTTGACTAGTTGCAGATTGTTTCACCATGAATATTGTGTGCCTGTGCAGGTTTCTCCCGAGTGGCCTGGCTTTCCTGTTGGTGTGAAATTTGTTCCCTCTGATGTTGAACTTTTAGAGCATTTAGCAGCAAAGTGTTGTATTGGAAACAGAGAGGCACACATGTTAATTCATGAGTTCATCCCAACTCTTGAAGGAGACCAAGGAATTTGCTACACACATCCAGAAAATCTTCCAGGTGAGGCCTTTTCTGATCTTCTCCTCTCAAATACGTAAACATTTACCAATTCATTCCGCAGAAGATTGACTAATGAACCATTGAAGTGAAGTCAATAAGCCAAACCTGAGAAACATCTCAAAGAAGCTACCTTAACACTTCCTTACATGTGGAAATGACTGGCAGATAATGGTACCTCGTGGAATACGTTGTGAAGTGTGAACAAAGTCCATAAAGATAATATCAATGTAACAACTTCGGGGTATTGTTGGTGTTGTTCTCTGGTATTTCATCTCTGTAACTAAAACTGACAACGATTTCTAAGATGAAATGTTGACTTCGATTGGAGATAACACCATCGGTATCACATATAATACTATATTAAGTTGTCCTTGATCAAATCTCGATTTTACAAAAATTCTCGGGCTTTGGAGTCCTATCACTTCCTTTTTAAACTTGAATATAACAAAGATTTATATAAATTTGATTTCTATGTTTAGATATTAGATCATCATGTTTCTTTGCTTTCTCTTTGGGATGGTTATAGGGGAAGCAAGGATTTTATGATTGCCAAAGGTAACAAAATTAGTGGCCAGTAATGATTATCTTCTAATTCGCTTTATACACGTTCGTTAACTCTGATCCATTCCAGAACATGCAGTTTTCTTTAGCACATTCTCTAATAGAATTGTAACTGTTTTATACTTTTGTTTCAGGTGCTAAGAAAGATGGTAGCAGTGTCCATTTCTTTCACAAAACAGCTAACGCATATGCTACTGGACAAAGAAAGCGTAGAAAGATTCATCATCAACATGGTTTGACTGAGGAGCATGTGCGCTGGCATAAGACTGGTAGGACCAAAGCTGTAACTGAAGATGGAATACATAAGGGATTTAAGAAGATCATGGTTCTTTATATGAGATCAAAGAAAGGTTCCAAGCCATATAAAACCAATTGGGTGATGCATCAGTACCATCTAGGGAGTGAGGAAGATGAGAAGGATGGTGAGTATGTGGTTTCAAAAATTTTTTATCAACAGCAGAAGCAGACTGAAAAGAATGAGGAAAATCCAGTGGTTGAAGATTCCGACGTGGCAGTGCGAACAAGTCCAAGAACCCCAAAACCAAATTCCCCTTGTCGACCTAGTGCAGGCAAATGTGTTGACTTTGATGACAATTTTGATGAGAATGAACTTCAGCCGTGCTTCCAGGTGTGTAACTATTTTTTATGCATGTGTATATATATATCTGTCTATGATGATTGACTTCGAAGCTAACCATCTTGTATGAAATTCACATGAGAAAGAAATCAATAAACATTTAAGAATCCATTAGCATTTCAACTTCTACTTCTCTACAACATTTGATGGACTCATCTTGAAAATTAATGAACTTACCACTGTGATTTTCTCTCAAGTTTGCTCGAGTACTATTTAGAATAGAAGTGAAGTTATTGAAATACTAATTTTGTAAACAACTACATTATGTGATTCACTTTTGAAACTTGAATTTGTTGAATCAGGATGCCAAGCCTATGCCTGGAGAATCACTTGCACCACCATCTGCATGGTTGGCTGGTGAATCACAACCTGACTGTGACTTTGATGGCTTGGAAGACATCTTATTATGCAAGGAGATGTTAAATTCCTCTGGTCTCTTAAACGATTCTGGATTGAACTCTACTTTTAATGGCATTGCCTGCAATGCAAACGAGTTGGCTGGAAATAATAATGACCATGTTTCTTATGGAGTTTCTGTCCTGGACACACTGGAATTGGATACTCCTCCAGATTTTGATCTATCTGTAAGCATCAACTTACTCTTCTAGAGTTTTTCAATATGTTAACATGCTCTCATTGATTCTCATTTTGCATGCAGAACTTGCAATTTGGTTCTCAAGACAGCATGCTTAAGTGGATTGACAAGCTTTAAAAGTTGTTGTTTTGAAGCAATTTCTATTTAGTACTGAGACTTAATCCCAAAGTGTTCCAAGTGATAGCTTAGTCAGTTGCAATGATTCTTCTGCTTCTGCATGCAAGGAATAAGGATAGTATATGAAGCTCAGGTTGTCTTCATGTGGTGTTTACTGGCACAAATTATGTATGGTTGTGTCACAAAAACTTGTATATTATATGTCATAAAAATGCTTAAATTAAGTTGAAGTTGGAACTTGGTGCATTCTTCATGCGAGTAGTATTTGTGATGTGACTTGTAAGGCTATTCATGTCTGTGCTGGAATGGAAACCAAATAGTTTACTATAAAACAAAACATTTTATTTATGTAAAAAAGTAATTTTTTATTTGTTAAATTACTTGTTTATTTAGTTTTTTCTAACACCACATTTTATATAGATAATGCTATTATTTTTGCAAGCACGTTACAAACCTTACTGATTTAGTTTTATATTAAAGATACTAGATAATTGCTTATTTAAGCACTTATTTAAGTTATTTTTAAAATGATGACTTATACTATAAATTTAATGTAAAAACTTATTGAACTTATTTTGATAAATTAGATTATTTGTTTATTTAGATTTTTGTAGCATGTACATTTATATTAGATAATGATATTTTTGCAAGATCATTACAGAACTTATTTATAATAGTTTTATACAAAATTAATGAAAATAGTTCATGACTTTTATAAATTCTTTTTAATTTATTCAGTAAATTTTATGATATAACTTATCAAAAAAGAAGTTGTCTTTATCTTATCTTAAATGTTTTATTATTAAATTTACAAAATATATAATTGTTTTTATAAAATATTTAACTAAATTATATATTTAAATATATTTTTAATTTTATATTAATTTATTAACGGGATAAAATGTTGGATGGATTCTAACAAAGGTAGAATTAGTTTGCATTATTGTACAATCTTGAGAACTATTTGTTAAAATGAAAGATTTATTTAACTTAACAACTTATATTAGAATGTATTATTATATGTTTATGTTAGGGATACATTGGTCTTTTGCTATCTCTCTTTTTATCTTTTTAGTATGATGTCTTTGTGGAATGTTCCAGATTCTTCTATGTTTTGACATAGGGAAGGGTATCTGCAAAGGCATTCTGATAATGACGTCAATATTCAGTATAAGGATATAAATATTATTTAATATTCAAAAATTAACTCTTTATTTGTACTTCTTACTTTCCTTTTATAGACAAGATATTGGGCTAATGAGTTTCATAACTCAACCTTGTTTTAACTTTCTGGTTATTTAGGTAATTAGTCTTCTTCTTTAGTGATTATCTCTTTTAGTCTCTAATCATCTTATTGATTTATTTTAATATGATTGGAAGGATGTCCGTCCTTATGTTGTGCTAAAGAAGTATTCAGATTCTTCTTTCTGTTGTAATGACTGAGTAGTGTCTTATCCAATACACTTGCCCTCTAAGCCCGAGGAGGTATGACTTAAGAGCTTTTTGATTAGATTTGTTGACAATTTGTTACTTTGTTGATGTATGGTCCTCATTCATATAGGCCGAATGGGCTTAGGTACCCTTTGACTTGGGATAGTTTGAAGGGGTATTTAGTTTCCTGCTTTTAAAAATGTCCAAGTGTCTAGCATGCTTTCCTCCAAAGCTAGAGTAAGGGTTCGTATAGACGGATTAGGGTTTTCAACAAGTTAGGGTTTCCTCGAAGTTCGTGTTTTGAAATGAAGGGTTGCACATTCATAACCGTTGATCTAAAAGGAGATCTAACGAGTGGGATGAGAGGTGTCCCTTCATCTACTTGAAGGCTTTCATTTTATAAAAAGGTGGTGGTCTAGGCATTATGAACATTTTTGCTCTACACCGAGGGGTACATTCTGTTTGATCGTTTCGAGTATTCTACGTTTATGAGTTCCAAGGTACGTGACAACGTCTCACCAAGTGCACTGAATCGTACAAGTAATATAATGAAAGTAAAGTATCGTTCTCACGGAGATTGATGCAAACACGTATTGATTCACTAAATTGAACTAATTGAATGCGGTTAGGATTGAATGAGACTCTAAAATATAAATTAATTTAATTCACTTTGCAAGTAAATAACAACAAAATATGAACTAAGATGAGAAAATTCAATGACAAGATAGTTAGGATTAGACTTCATCCATTGTTCATATGATAAACTAAACTCCTTTATTAGTTCAAGCTCTTCTTAAGATGTTAAGAAAAGTTTCCACTAAATTAATTCATATCCAATTCTTTGGTATAAAAATTCTCTTAAACCCATACACAAAGATTAATTCCTTAATTTCCAATGTATGAGTCTAAGGTTTTAGAGTACAAAAAAACCAAAAGATCACACACCTAATAATTTCTATTCCTAGAAAATTAAATGATGAGGCAAGTAAATCAAGAAGCACAACCACTCCTTCCATTTTCCAATGTCAAGAAGGTTTATCAAAACAAAGCATGAGTAACTAATTCATACCAAGCCTTAAAAACATACTTACAAGCTAACATCAAAAGAAGCTTAAACTAGAGTCAAGAATCTAATTACATCACAATCCATCATAGAAATGAAAAACACAAGAAAAGAAGGAGAGGTCCCCTTAGCCATATTCTTGAGAAGAAAAAGAGTTTGGGAATCTTCTCCAATCTTTCTCTCCAAAGATCCAAGTATGGGTCCGGTCTTCTTGCCCTCAAAAAGTTGCTCCTTAGCTCTCTCTCGCAAAAAAAACCTCCCTCCTTACAATGTGTCTTCAATCTCTTTTATATTCCACAATATGTATTCTTGTCCACGTTAGTAAGTTTGTACCTTGACACACAAACATCTCCACTTTGGCGCTAAAAGTCCTAACTTCATTAGTTAATCATGATAAGCGCCTTAGTAGTACATTGTCACACTTGGGTGGCGCCTTGGCACTGAATAACTTACAATTAATATCCAAACTTCAGCAATTTTCACCCAAAACAGTAGTAAGGTAAGAAAAATGTAAAAATTAGAATTCTAGTAAATTTAGAAGAAAAAATGAAATTTAAGAAGTTAAAGAAGAAAACAAGAAGATTAAAATTAACAAAAAACTACATACTACTAGACTCTTAACAGTACGTTCGTTTTGCCATTGCCTTTTTCATCTCTTCTCTTAATATTGTGAGGATGGATAATTTGATTGAGTGGGAAGACTCCTTATCGGACCAATCAAGGCTGGATACCGAATTTATTAATGCGATGAGCGATGTAGTTGAGACTGAAAGGGTAGAAGGTATTTCTTCTCAACCAATCAGTATTGTGAGTGATCTGAACGAGATAATTAGGGGTTCTGGAGACAAAGCCGAATCGTCTAACACTGAAGGGCAGGCTTCTGAGTCATATGAGTCACTACTAAACGCTAATCCTCCAAGAGAAAGGTCCAAGTTTCTGCCCTGTACTATTCCTGGCTATGAGTGGTAGACGGTGAAGTAGACGCGTACTTCTCGCGCTTCCAACAAAACAAGCGAGTACAATCCTTTGTAGATCAATGTAGCATAGCACTATGGGATGCTTCAGACCCCTATCCGATAACTGTCAAGGTCTGCCAAGGGGATGGCTCGGGAAACCCTGAACTAGTATTTTTAGGTGATTATGCCGAGATAGTTGAAACTTTTTTTGTATATGAATGTATGTTTAGGGAATTAGGGATATTACTTCCTTTTGATGAATTTCAAACGGGTGTATTAAGGGTCTTGAATGTCGCGCTGACATAACTGCATCTGAACGGGTGGGCAGCAATGTAGGTGTTCAGAATCTTGTGTAAATCTCATTACATCAAGCCTAGTATAGGTTTATTTTTTCATTTTTTTTGTACCTATTCTTTGGACAAGGCAAGGTAGGTATCACTAATAAGGCAAGTCGAGCTGCCCCTTTTTAAACCTTATAATTCTTCTTTCAAGGGTTTTAAGACCAGATACTTTAAAGTAACTGTTAACCCTGTTATTGGCAAAAAAAATACTTTTTTGATAGTGAAGATAGACCTCTCTTCCCCTTTCATTGGACTCAAGTCTCTCGTCGATATGACGTGTACCCGAAATAGATTTGACCCAGGAAGAGTTATCAGCTTTAGAGTACATAAAATCTCTTCCTCGTGAACTCCCTGCTTGAGCACATATTCTTTTGCCAAAATCTCCTAAACCCCAATTGGACTTAGAGGGTATGCTTTATGAGCTTTGCTTATGTTTTGTCAACCTTGTTGTATTGATTTAACTCCTTGTTCTCGGTGCAGGTATAATAGCACAAAGAAGAGTTGGGATATCTTACTGTTAGGCCCTAAGGACTCGGGTTCCAGAGGAAACTTCGGCTAAATAACACTGCCACCCCCAGCTAGACCATGTTCCAGAGTTGGCAGAGGCACGTTTTCCTCCCTAGGATCTTCCCCTTGTCGAAGGGAATACAAAGAAAAGAAAAGACAAGGGCAATGGGAAATAATCTGAAAAGGAGCAAAGGCGTAAACATCCCTGTGCCGAAGGGTCCAGTGGCCTAAGCAGCTATTCAGCTCAGACTGTCATCCCTCCAGTGGTCTTCTCAGATACTTTCTTTGCCGAGGGAGTCTGGGCTAACAAGCTTGTATCTCCAGACTTGTTATCTGATACCGGGAGGGCTGTTGTAAACAAACATAATAATAGGTCTCAGTGGCAATGGTATTGTGAGCTATAGAGCCAAGCCATGGTGATGACGCGTAGCTTGGCTTTGGAACCTTTGCTTCAACTAGAAAAAATCCAAAGCCAATTCTCATCAACATAGAGAGCTTTAAAGAAAAATGAAGAAGTTCGGTCAAACTTGGCCAATACAAATAAAGTGTTGGAGGTTGAAGTATCTCAAATTAAGGGGCATTTCAACATTATTGAGGATTGACTATGTGTAGCTGAAGAAGCCTTAAAGACAAAAGGCTTGGAGTTGGACAATGCCTTGGCAAGAGAGAGGCATAACAAAGAAAAGGTCGATGTTAACATGA